CCCCCTCCCTACATGGGAGTCAGTTCTGTGGGACTCTTCCCCCTCCCTACATGGAAGTCTGTACTTGTTCTTCACTAAATCTCCATCTTTGCTATACAAAAAAACCCAAAAAACAACAAAAAACACAAAACACCTAGTTGTGATTTAGAAATGACCCTCATTATAGCCTTATGATAGCATATTGATAGCGTTGACATGTAATGGCTGTGTACTGTCCGGCGTTTGTCCGGTGGGTGTTCCGTGACACCCTACACGAGCCGAACGCCTGCCCTGTTACCCCACCAAGTGCCCTTCATCAGTCCCCTTAAACGAGGGAGCCTGGGTAAGGGATTTCACTTCCCTGGGCCCTGGGCTTCTGATCTGTAAAGTGGGGATGGTAACGTTAGTAAGGTGCGCAGCTAGCACTGCTTCCGGTGTGCAGATGTTCTACACAAACGGTTTCTAAGTAAAATCTTCAGAAGGACCTTTGGGAGGAGCCCTGGTCTTATCACAGTTCTGGAAGGTAAGGAAATGGAGAGAAAGAAAGTCTCACATGCCATTGATGGGTAAACGTCCTCCCACATGGACAAAAATGGGGACAGGTTGGGTTTTTCCGAGATCTGGTTGGGGAAGTAGAAAGGGTGGCAGGGGGTGGGGGTGGGGGACAAGTTCTGACTCCCTGACTCATCCCACATGCACATGAGGCCACGGAACCCACAGCTGAACTCACACCCCAGCCTCCACGCGTGGACCATCTGATCATGCCTTTGACCACAAAATCCCTTCAGTTGCCCTAACTACTTGCTTTTATTACTTCCATTGTGTGCTATTTTCTAATTTACCTCATTTTAACTGGCGTTTTTTGCTATTTTCTAATTCACCTGGTCATGACTTGTATCTCTTGTTGTTGCTGCTCATGGTAAAATAAAATCCAGTAACAATGGGAGGAATAAAGAAGAACATTCCCACAGAAGGCCACACACTTAAGGGTGTGACAAGAGAGGGTAAGGACGGAATAGAGCGAGGGGCCCCGTGACGGGCCACCAGGCCCGAGTTTAGTGCCCTTCGTCAAGTCTGGGTCGTTCTGAAGGGACGGGGCATGGGCTAAGGCAGGATGGTTAAGTCCAGTGGCCACAGCCAGAGAGAGAAAAGGCCCCAGGACCCAGACCTGGTCAGGGTGTGACCGACACCACCAAACGCAAAGGGTTCTTCATGCACAAGAAGGGGCTTTGAGAGCAAATACCAGGAAAGACAAGGACTTGATGCAATCCTAGGAATGAAGAAAGAGAACATCTGCACAGGATGGATCGCCCAGCCGCCACCCTTCCCTCTGCCCCCATGGCCCTGCAGTGACAGGGACTGGATCTCCCAGCCCCCACCCTCCCCTCTACCCCATGGCCCTGCAGTGACAGGGACTGGATCTCCCAGCCCCCACCCTCTCCTCTGCCCCCATAGCCCCCGCAGTGACACAGTGGCCCTGCCTCACTTCTGTGCAGCTGGCGCCCTGTCCGGGCTGATATTTTTCCTCTGCAGCTTGTCGGGGCTGCTTGGGAACACGTTCTATCCAGGGGGCAGCTTTAACGGGCCTCATTCCCTGAAAAGCCTCTATTTGTAAACACTAGGCAGGAGAGACATGCTCCGATGGTCTCCTCTTTCATGCTACCGTGTCTGACACGCTGCGTCCGTCCTCGGAGCCCAGGTCAGAAGCCAGGTTCCAGGCAAGGGAGTTCTTCCTGGGATTCTCTCCTGCCTCTTGGTTTTTGAGTTGTTATTATTTTTTCTTTTGGACAACACGCCCCGTTTCCCACCACCGCACTATCTAAAGGGATGATGGGATACGTGAGTGAAGTCTGTTTCAAAAGAAAAAAAAGTGACTTCTTTGTGAGCTCTGCTTTTCTACTATTTAGTAGGAAATTTAACAATTAATGCAGGGGTCCTCAAACTATGGCCCGCGGGCCACATGCAAATACAAATATTGTATTTGTTCCCGTTTTGTTTTTTTACTTCAAAATAAGATATGTGCAGTGTGCATAGGAATTTGTTCATAGTTTTTTTTTTTAAACTATAGTCCGGCCTTCCAACAGTCTAAGGGACAGTGAACTGGCCCCCTGTTTAAAAAGTTTGAGGACCCCTGAATTAATGTATGGGAAACCGTGGTTCAGGTCATAACTCCGTGCCAGTGCTTATGAATAGGAGACAGCATTCTTCCTGTACCCTCTCTGCTTAAATACTGTGTCTCTGACCCCCAGTGTGGAAGGCGTCAGTAGATACCGAATCATCAGGCTTCGATTGGTCTGCCCTCTTCTCCATTGTAAGTCAGTCCTCTGATCAAGTACACGGACAGGGTTGGCTGGTCGTTTCCAAACGGCGCCTTACAAAAGGGTCCTAAACATGATCCTTTAGTAACTTTGGGTCTATTCGTAGGACGAGGCATTATCATTTTTCAGAGCACCACAGCCAAACAGAAACACAGAAATGGCCAACTCTCGCCTCCACTCATAACCCCAGTGCTCAGCTTTGCAAAGGCAAATGACTCATTTAGACCAAAGCAATACGGCCGCCTCTGAGACATCCACTGATTTTAAATTAAATAATGACTGCTATGTTTTACATAAAGAGTGAGAACTAAATGACAGGGTAGACCTTCCTTGGTATTGTTTGTAGCAACTCCACTGCACTGTCTAAGGCACTGGTTCTCAACCTTCTAGCCCTTTAAATACAGTTCCTCATGTTGTGGTGACCCCCAACCATAAAATTATTTTTGTTGCTACTTCAGAACTGTAATGTTGCTACTGTTATGAATTGTAATGTAAATATCTGATATGCAGGATGGTCTTAGGCGACCCCTGTGAAAGGGTCATTTGACCGCCAAAGGGGTCGCGACCCACAGGTTGAGAACCACTAGAAGGGAAAAGGCGGGGGGGGGGGGGAGTTCCTGACAATTCCTGGACTACAGCGAGCTGTTCTCATGGCTCAGGTCTTCAGGTTCTAGAAAGAATGGGTTTCCTTTGCTTTCTGTTTTCTCTAACTTGGAGTTGAGAAGAAAGTGCCCATGACTGCAAGGGTATCTTCTAAAAGCATAGTTTTCCATGGAAGCACAGGTTTTTCTCCCAACCAAAGGAAAAAAGGCACATTAAATGCAACCTGTTATGTAAAGACTAAAAGTAAAATCTCTGGCAATTGTTAAGAATGTTGGTTTTTGCCTGCCACTGCCACCACTGTCCCTAATTACTCCAGACCCTATGCCTTTGTCTCCCTGCTCAGACTTGAAACTCTCCCAATAGGACTTGAACATTTCCTTCTCTGGTATCTCCTGTACCCTCTCTCCTGCTCTCCGCATTTTCACCACCACGATGGGGTCTTATGCTGAGTCAGGAGTAGATGCTAATACTTGCTGAATCAGTGAACTCATTACTTTTGGATAAAAAGGATGTGTCTTTTCTGGTACTTTAATTTTTTATTTCTATGCTTCTCTGATGTTGTAATTTTATTTTAAATTTCTATTTTTTTTTTAATTTTAAAAGTAGATGTGATCATAACCATTGATTTTCCTTGTCTCTGTGAGCCATAGAGCACACCACAAAAGCCAATAAAATGTTAGTTATGCATGTTAATGAACACTTTGACATATATGTGTGATAAATATATTTCTGCAAAGTTAGTCATTAACTGAATGAACTAATTTTTCAATCTATCCACTGAGCCAAACCGGCTAGGGCTTAAAAATATTTAAATAATTATAATTAGTTATTCTGTAACAGGGAAACACTATGCACTCAATATAACGGCAAGAGAAACCAGACAAGTGCCCATTTGCATCCTGTACTGGTGTATTTCTTTGGTTGTGTATAGCCCCTTGAATTAGCCTGATCGTTAATTATACTTTACTTTGTGCCTTATAGATAGAACTTATATTTAATTTTATTCCACAACTCCTAAGGTTTCATAATATTTAAACACCTGAGTGCATCTGCATAACCACATATTTGGGTTCTTAACTGAATTGATATTTTGCTTTTAAGTTTTTCTCTAACAAGCTGGATGTTTTCAAATTGGGTTCTATAAAACTTGAAGCTACTACTACATATCTCTGTGAATTACTAAAAGAGCGTGCACTCCCATAAATGACATGCTTCGTTTATTTCTGCTTCATGACCACCAGACACGGGCTCAACCGATGTCAGGGACTGAGATCCAGGAAGTGGACAGGGTCCCTCTGTAGCTTGAAGAATCTGAAGACCTTTACGTCCTTTCCGTGTTTGTAATACTTTGTCTTGGTTTCCAATGGGCGATTTCTAATTTCCCCAAATCTGTTTAATTCAAGAACCCACGATGAGGCAGAATAATCTAACTCTAACTAGTTCCAAGAATAGCAGAAGGTTCTCATATGCTGTTTCTTTACGAATATGATCCAATACCCCATTAGCCTGTTCAGGAGCAGCAGACCGGCATTAATGCATTCCCAGGATGTTGCTTCACCTAACTGGTAATTAACTGAGGAATTCTAATCATATGAATTATAAGGGAGAGCATCGCTGTTTTCTTCTTCCTATTGAAAATGTTTTAAGAGAATTTGCTGCCGCATAATATCCTCAAAGAAATTGATCATACTTTTCCTGTAATAAATGTTGTTCTGACAGTAAAGCATTAGTAACCAATTGATAACCTAGCAACAATATTGTGATCTCTTTAGATAATTAATCTTAGCTATTTTCCTGTCAGAAGCCACAGCGCTTGATTTTATGTTGAGCCAGAAAGATTGCCAGTTTTGAAAATTAAAAAGCATTCCTTTTATATTATTCATTCCAGTAACAATTTATGGTGGCGCATTTAGCTGCTGAACGCTTGTCAACAAACGTAATTATGTTTCGATATAAACAAGATTGGTGGTTTTACGATGCCGCTCCATCTTGGTTGAGAACCTTTGGATTTAGGTTCAGATTGTACAAGCTGTGTGTTTGTGTATCATGCTTTTTCTCCTTTGTTAATAGTTTGTTTGTTTTTCTGATAATTGCCCGTAGGCAAACCAGCATGCATTTAGGATCCTTGTGCATGGGAGATGTCAAACGGAGAAGGAAGGCAGCACCCTTGCCTGGACCTCCTACAACAGGTAAAAGGAAGGGGGCAGAGCACACGTGTGAGGTTCATGAGTCATCAAGAATGAAATAGTGATCATTCTTCATCACTGCACCGAAGAGGCACGGTTGCCAGCAACTGTTACATCGTTTGCATTTGGTGTAGGGATGGATGCACGTGTGAGGATCTTCTTCTCTATAATATTGATGGCAAAGGGAGGTTTTGAGCCCACACCTGCATGACCCCTAAACCCATGTTCTTTCTATGACAACTTACTCAAGACCTTTTTGTAAGACTATATCTGTGAAGTCTATCTCATTGCATATGCTTACTTGAACACACACTATTACATATTGTAAGTTTCATAGAAGATTCATCTAAATATTGCTATGCAGAGATACAGAATATTAATTAGAGCACTTCTATATATCTCTTTATGTGGGAACATATAGCCACTTTCAGATCAAATACATGTCATAAGTTCTTCAGTTCAAATCTCTCATAGGCAGGTGTAGGCTTCTTAATGCCCTTGTTCCATTGAATGGTCCCCTGAATTCTCGTCTTTCAGTGATTCAGACATTAGTGGCAGAGACAGAACAATCGTAGGAATGGCAGTGCAGCACCTTCATGCCAGCAATCAGGAGCAGACAACAGCTGGATCAGGCCCTCACTCTCTCAACACATGTGCAGGGAGAAGGAAAATACAGAATGGTCGAGGAGGGTGGTATAATTATTTCTGCGAGGTGGTTTTGACGTTACAATTCAATAGTGCCAGAGGGAACCACTTATACTGAGTATGTGTTGAAAATTGTCAGAAAATTAGGCACTTTCACTTTATAATTCCAAACATTAAACTTTAGCCTAAAACATTTAGAAGCTCACACCAGCATATTCCAGATGTTATACCTCTAAACTGCTGTGATTTTCTTAAGATTCTGGATTTTTATTATATTACTAGATTTTTTTCCTTCAAATTTCCTTCAAGAATAAAACTCATAAAACTTTTTATGATTATTCACAAACCAGTGACGTAGGAGAATTGTGTCACTCATATCCAGAACAGTCTCAAATCTATGCACACGTTCCTCTCGAAGAGAAGGAGGGTGAGGTTACTTAAAAAGACCTGTTTCTAAAAGAATTTCTTCCAATATTAATGAATCAACTCCAAGGTGAAGACTATTACTCGAATTCAAGTAAGAAATGCTTTTGCATAAATACACTTTGTTAATGAGGTCGTGGATCCTAGATTGTCTTGTCTCTGAAATTGTCATTTTCAAATTCTGGAATATAGCCAGTCACATAATAAGGAGTCAGTTATATCTGTCAGCTTCCGAAGTTGAGTTAGCAGGTAGAATTAAAGAGATTTTTTTCACCTTTTTATAGGCCCTTTGCAGACCTCTCAAAAAACACACTGAATTGAGACATATTTTCACAATCCCTGCCTTTAAGTCAACATTCCATCTGAGCTGGAAAAATGCAGGTGAAGATCACCTCATTTATAATATGGAAGAAGAGCTAAAAGCCTGACAGCTTGAACATTGTTTAATGATCCCCTCTGATTTACATGTGAACTACTATGCAGTCAAACAGCAGGTTAAGAAAAGATTTACCAAAAGAATTGTCAGGAAATTAGGCGCTTTCGCTTAATTCCAAACAATAATTTAGGACCCTAAATATAAAGTGGTATGTTATATACATAATATTATTTTTTAAAAAGACTTAACAAGTCTTTTATGAAATTAATAACCCAAAATGTGATCATCTTTACCGCTTACTATGTTGAAAATTGTACCCACCCCATCTTAGCACCAGCATGAAGCGTAAGTTCATCGCTTCATAAGGCTGTGCACTAGCCAGCAGCATTATCGCTTGAACATTTATTAATTGTGACAGGAACACCAAGTTTATTTCAGTGCTTTAGCTTATTTACTGCTCCTTCACCTTTGTAGTTTGTATTGACAAAGTAAAATGAATATTGATAAGGTTGGATATTGATTTTTTTAAATGTATGGCTTGTTCCCTGCCTCATTCAAAGTCACATAGGCAGAGACGGTGGGTGTCGCCGCAGCGAGGATGTAGAGTTACTATTCTAAAATGAGAACTGTTGAAGCAGGAAGGCTTGCCAGCAGAATGCATTTTATTGTTTGAAAAATGTCATCTGTAAAGGTGAAGAAAAGCCCTGAACAAAATAGGAGGAATATTATTAACGCATTTTAAAAAGGCAGTCAGCAATGTTGGTTACGGTCTATGTTTGTGGTAGAAGTCACAGCTTACTGAGGATATGAAAATTAAAAGATGTAAATATGCTTATTACTATTATGGCAACTACCTTTTTTAAATGTTTTGTCCACTATACATTACTAAACTCATTGTTATCCAGAATGAGTTTTTGCTGTTACTATTTTGATTTCTAGTGAAATAATATCATAGGGAAAATAGTCACCAGAGGAGTCAACCTTTTTTCTGTACATTTTAAATTATACAAAATTATATGAATTGCTCCAATGTAACAGTGTTTGTTTTTACTTCCTCCTTATTGTTGAAAGTATTACAGATGTCCCCTTTCCCCCCATTTGCCCCCTTGCACCTCACTCCGGGCCCCTCCCCAGGCCTCCACCACACTATTGTCTGTGTCCATGGATTATGCATATATGCATACAAGTTCCCTATTTAATCTCTTCCCGCCCCCCTCTTCCCTCTGAGATTTGTCAGTCTGTTGCATGCCTCCGTGTCTCTGGATCTATTTTTTTTGTCAGTTTATTTCATTCTTAGGCCCAGAAATCAGGATTTTAAAAAGATTCCCAGGTGATTCTAATGTGCAGCCAAGGTTGAGAACCACTGTCTTATATAATAAAAGACCAATATGCAAATTGACCGAATGGAGGAACAACCAGTCACTATGATGCGTACTGACCACCAGGGGGCAGACGCTCAATGCAGGAGCTGCCCCCTGGTGGTCAGTGCTCTTGCTAAGGAGCAGCGAACAGGTGGGTGGTAAGGAACGAGGGGTCCTGGACTGCAAGAGGATGCAGGCCGGGCTGAGGGACAACCCCCACCCCGCCCCCCCAGTACAAGAAATTTCGTGCACCAGGCCTTTAGTAACAAAATAACCTTCCTGAATACTTAAGGCACAAAAGGCAGGTTGTAAATGATAGTAATGGCTGAAGATTTTTAAACAGTGCACTTTTTATTAAAAGTCGCTCTGAACAGCCCAGCCGGTGTGGGTCAGTGGTTGAGCATCAAACTGTGAACCAGGTTCATAATTTCTTTTTAAATGAAATAATAAAAATATTCGACAGAGAGTAGTAACACCTACCACTTTCTGTACTTAATGCTGCTTCTTTTCTTTTTTAAACAGTAATCAAAACCTATGATCCTAAGTTAGTTACCAAGAACTACAGGACAGTATTATAACTTAACAGTTTAATAACATCACTAGTAATAACGATAGCCCTGGCCCTGGGCTGGCTAGTCAAGTGCGGAGGAAGGATGGGGAGAAGTGTGTGTGGACCACGGAACGCCATCGGAGCCCAGGGCAGGAAGCGGGCTCACGAGGCGATGCGGGGAGCAGCCCGTCACCTCCCCTTTCCACTGGCTGCTTATCCAACATCAATACAACACTTTAGGAGCCAAATTACTAAACAAGCTGCCAATTAGGCTTGCAGTCAGCTGGACAGATTAGCAGCTAGGAGAGGCCGGTACAAGATTTTCATCTCTTGAGCCAATTACGCAAGTGAATTACCATCCGCAGTGGTTTTTGGAAGGTGTGAGGGGAGAGGACCGAATGGGCTATAATAGATACGAGAGCTCCAACATCAGGCGGGTTGGGAGGGAGCACGCGGAAGGTTATTGCTAAAATTGCCCTAGCGGGAGGAGCGCCTTCCAGGGAAGAACTTAAAGGATTTAGCACTGCCAGGAGCAAAAGACAAGGAAAATTGTGGTGGTGGTGTGCTGAGCAGAGCCTGAGCTGTGCCCTCCCATGCCTTAATCTCATAAAAAGAAAAAGGATGCGAAACCAACAGTACATTTCATTCTAGAATCAAAGTATCTCTCCATTGTTTGAATGGGGTTTTTTTTAAGGTTGTATGGAAAAGCCATTGCTTTTTTGTTTTGTTTTTGCTTTTTTGATGAGTCTGTGTTTCTATGTGGAAAGATTTAGCATTGGAGACATTTAACATTTCTTTTTTGTTTGTTTTTCTTCAAAACACAAGATGATGCTTTGCTTTATTTTATTTTCATTAAGGAGCGAAACTAGCATTTTTAAAAAGAGAGGGAATGGATTACTTTCCACCTACATGAAAACACAGCACTCCAGGGCCACTATCCTTGAAATACCAACATTTTAAAATCATGATAGTGAATCAGTTTTCCTTTGCTCTTCACTTGAGAACAGAAATGTATCACACTTCAGCAGTTTTTGCAGGGACATTTTAAATTGGCCTTATTTTTTTTTTCTTAAATATAAAACACATTTTAAATCTGAGATTTTGCAAGCTCTTTATCCAAAATATGATTAAACAGATCGGTAGCCTAGAGCAGCATTAGACCGCGGATCTGATTTTAGCTTATCCATTGAAATAAATTAATTCGTAGCAATCTCTCAAAACATCAGGGCCGTGGGAGAGAATGCTCACATACTGCTTAACTGAAAATACTGGTCAGTAGCTATTCAGTAAAAAATTAGAGACCTTGGAGGTCTGTCTTGGGTACCACCATAATCATAATTTCTAAATAAAATTGTAGTGGCTTTTTAAATGTTTTTTTCTTTTTTATTGAACATATTGCGGTGACATCTATATATATAAAAGGCTAATCTGCTAAGTGTCGGTCCAACTGGTTGCTGACACACACTAACCACCAGGGGGCAGGTGCTCAATGCAGGAGCTGCCATGATGCCCACTGTCCATTTACAGAGAAATGGCACTACAGACCTGGTGCCCCCAAAGCAACACTCAACTTCCCCCAAGTGGCGGTGGAGGCCCTGCCACCACCCCAGAGCCCACCAAATCGCAGCCGACACTGCCGAGACCCTATGGCACAAAATGCAGCCCACAGTCCAGCCCAGCAAGAACGGTGGCTGTGGGTGCCAGGTAATGATGTCACATAGCAACACCCGGCTTCCTCTCCCTAGCAACTAGCCTCCTTGGAGTTTCTTCATCCCAGGGACATGACTTGCTTTATAGTCAGGTGGAAACATTTTACACTTTAACCAAATGTCTGTGAAGCATTTTCCCGTGCCTCATCTCATTTGATCCTCACAGAATTTCTGGAGTAGGTAGATAGAAGACTCGGTGGAATCCTATTTTCTTTTCATTAGCCAGAAAATGGAGATTTAAAAGTTTAGAAACTTGACCTGACTGAAAAGAAGTAAGTGGTGGACCTTGAAAATGACCAGGTTTTCTCACTGTGCAGGATATAGTCAAATACTGCTGCAGTTAAATATTTTACCCTTTGTTCTCCCTGCATGATCTATAATAATAATCTGCTTAGTGTTGATATTTACTGCTGTGTTGCTGACAATTACCTGAAAGAGAAGTTGGGGTGCTTCACTGAGCTGGAAAAAGTTTAGCCAAATCAGAAAGCAGGTCTAATTAAGCAAGTTTATCTATATATATAAAGCTCTTGCTGGTGCCAACTGCACGCATGTGTTTCGATCTGTCATTGTGGATCATGAATTTGGTTGACACTTCTATTATGGAGAAAGGGCGAATAGCAATTAAAATATTTTTCCAATTAATTTCCTTTCGATGTACTAAATCTGTGCACGGGGCCACTAGTTGGTTAATAAAATTACAAGGTTTCAGGTGTATTAAAGAAGTATTTTGACGCAAGGCATTTATTTTTTTGTAAGTAAGAGTTTCCCTCCCAGGTGCCTCTGTGAAAGAAAACTGAAGAGAACATGGTTTTCTTGGCCCGAGAAGACCTTTGCCTGTGCCAGGACTAACATCCTTTGTCGTTTTACATTTTCAGGATTCGTTGGAGAAAACGCCCAGCCCATCTCAGAAAACAACATAGGGAACCGCATGCTCCAGAACATGGGCTGGACACCTGGCTCGGGCCTCGGACGCGATGGCAAGGGGCTGGCCGAGCCCATTCAAGCCATGCAGAGGCCAAAGGGCTTGGGACTTGGATTTCCGCTACCAAAAAGCACTCCCGCAGCCCCCAGCGCCCCCATCCCCGCCTCGGGGACATCCGCCTAAGAAGAAACACTTCACAGTTTTGCTTCGCTTGCTCTGTGTCCCGTTGTTCTGAAATTACAGCACAGCTTCTGTTCGTGGAGCAGAAATCGACAAGGCCTCGGACTTGTCACGCCAGCTTCCTAACCGCGTCCAGTCCTACCACGGCGACAGAGATGCGCCTTCATCCCAGCTCATGGTGCTCAAGTTCAAACCGTTCCCTTTAAATGTTGTCAGCAACTTTCGGCTGTTTTTAGATGGAAAGAACAGCTCATTTCTCTTATTTATTTTGATGGCAAATGCCAGTAATGTCTAATGCTTTTAAGCTTGATTCATTCACGTGTGGGTGTGAGGCCCGGGCAAATGTGAGTGCACCCTAGGGTTTCTAAAATGAGACAGGCCGGGGAGGTTGTGTCTCGTGCCACCCCGATCGAGGGTGGCTCAAAAGACCATCAGTGAGGACCTAAGCGAATCTCTGATTGAAAGACGTGTCAGTTCCATATTTGTTGAGTTTGGCGTTTGTGAGTAAGTGAGTGTGTGTGTGTGTGTGTGTGTGTGTGTGTGAGTGAGGATTCTCTAATGGGGAGAGGTACCCATTAATCTTCTAACCTTGGACAGTGTAGTGTGAAGTTCACAGTTGACCAACCGCAATTAACGTATCCCTCTGACGTTTTGACAAAAATAAACCTCATCCCTATTATCACCAGAGTGCCCTCAACATTACTTTAGTGCGTGTTTTATAAATTTTACCTCATTTAGGACATAAAGTAATTATTGAAAGAAAAATGTATTTTTTAAATTCATCATGATTGAACTATAAATTCTATTAATCTAGACCAGTGGTTCTCAACCTTCTGGCCCTTTAAATTCAGTCCCTCATGTTGTGACCCAACCATAAAATTATTTTCGTTGCTACTTCATAACTGTAATGTTGCTACTGTTATGAATCGTAATGTAAATATCTGATATGCAGGATGGTCTTAGGTGGCCCCTGTGAGAACCGCTGATCTAGACTGACTTCTACCTCTCTCTTCCCAAAGGTTGATTTTTTTTTTTTAAAAAAAGAGCAACTCAACTATAGTAAACTAATTTTAAATTTTAACCATTGGTGTACGTTAGAATATTGAACCCATTTATTTGAAGATATAAATGGCTCTCCCAAGAATTCAAATTCCAGGCCATGAGCCAACCCATCTACAAGGTGAACAAAAATGAATGGAAGCGACTTGCCCTTTTCACATCTTAGCAGTTTCTTTAAAACCAAGCAAAGCAAGTCATTTTTATTATGTGCCTAGTATTGTTATGTCTGAGTCACCTGCTGCATAATGTTAGAGATTCTAAATTGCTCCCTAGTTTAGAAGATGTTGGTTTGTTATCTCCTTCATTAGTAATGACCAATAATAATATTCTATTTGTAATGGCCTTTATTGGTTAAGTAAAGACCAAGATAACACATGTGAATCTCCTTGCTAGAGGTTTTTTCTTTTTCTTTTTTTTTTTTTTTCTTTTTTTTTTTTTTAGGCTTTGGTGTTTTGGGAGCACTTTTAGGTTCACTGCAAAATAAGGTGAAGGTATAGAGATTTCTCATAGACCCTCTGGCCCCACACATGCACCGCTTCCCCTGTTATCAACATCCCTGACCAAAGTGGTACCTTCGTTACAACCAAGGAACCTACCCTGATACATCACCATCACCCAGCTTACATTACAGTTCACTCCTGGTGCAGCACATTCTATGGACTTGGACAAACGTATAATGACATTATAGCATCGTTCACAGTAGCTTTACTGTCCTAAAATTTCTCTGTGCTCCACTCTAATAGGTTTTTGAAAATCTGTAAATTCCCAAGAGATTTTTAAAGGAGGGAGAGGGTTTTTGTGTATGTCATAGACCTTTCGGGAGTGGTCCCCTAAAGAAAACACCGCCAATCAGGGAGAGGAAGGCTGCCTGCCCTTGGAAAGCCTGGATGATTTGCCAAATGTACATGTTTTTTAAGCATCACCTTCTCTCGTAGAGGTACAGTGGTAAGAGGACAGTTTGAGGAAATATGGACTACCAGGGGAATTGATCTTTGGAAGCTTTCTAACTGGGTGAAGTAACTGCTATTTTGTACAAGCTTGTTACTTAGAAAACTATCATTTTTAAAAAGTGCTTTTTGTTAAATACTCCTCTTGGATGTAAAGGGGGAAGCTAGGAAAGATAGTCCAGATAGCGATCTAAAACCTTCTTTATGGTAGTTTATAGCAGTGATGGCGAACCTATGACATGCGTGTCAGAGATGACACGCGAACTCATTTTTTTGGCTGATTTTTCTTTGTTAAATGGCACTTAAATATATAAAATAAATATCAAAAATATAAGTCTTTGTTTTACTATGGCTGCAAATATCAAAAAATTTCTATATGTGACACGGCACCAGAGTTAAGTTAGGGTTTTTCAAAATGCTGACACGCCGAGCTCAAAAGGTTCACCATCACTGGTTTATAGGTTCTAGGTGTGTTCAAAAGACTTTTTCCCCCTTAAATCCCAATATTTTCTGAAGATCTGGAGCTCTTCTAAAACCCTGGCATTTTGAAAAACCAAATTTGGAGCTACTGATAAACACACAGTAAGGTTATCGTGCGACTGGCTCCAGACGCCTGCAAACGTGGCTGCTCCTTCCACTTCACCGGGTTCTAACTCCTGAGGGAGGAGCAGACCATACACAAATGGTAAAGATTGCGGCCTTCATGCCTGCTTCTTACTGTCTTTTCTATCGTCCCAGTCTTCTGAGGCAACACCTCTAGGTGCTCCTGCTCCCTTAACCTGGGTGTGGACCTCTGACACCCCCCACCACCACCACCATCAAAATCCATCTTTATTGTTTCAGCTGATAGGAGAAAGGGCTGACTCTTGGCTTCTAGCGCCCTCTACGTGGCTCGCAGAGGACTTAAAATAGTTCCTCTTCTATGGAAGTGCTTCACTATACGGAATCCATGAATCCACGCCCAGAGTAGACAAGTGGTGATGTCCAGGCGCCCCCCACCGCCCCGCTCTGCACAGACATTCACCAGAAGCGCACACGTCCCTGCACCATTCGGTCCTTATGCAAAAGCAATGCAGACACATGACATCCTGCCTGTACTGATCTTAATGGGAGAAATAAGCACAATTTAAAAATGGGACTTTTAATGTAAATCAAGTATCTTTTAAGATATGAAGTCCACTAATTTATTTTATATATAGCTATAGTTACTATGCCCATGGAACCCAAAGCGCCCAGAGCAATTTATAATGAAGAATGTGTCATCCTTATCTCCTTAAAAAGGTGGTGAGATTTTTCTCTGCTCCTCCTTAAAGCCACTCGTCTACAGTAGCAAAAGCTTCCTATCACACTAATTGGTTGTGCTAAAAATTTTAGGGAGCGCATAGGTCTCTTCCATTACTGTCCAAATTGTCCATTTCCCAGCAGTAGCCAAGAGAGGCTGAGCATGAATTAGCAATTCAACTTTTTTTGTCTTTATATACTTATTATACTTGATACTGGCCCTCCCTCCCTCCCTCCCTTCCTTCCTTTTCCTCCTTCTCTCCCTCCTCCCCCTTCCTATCTTCCTTCCCTCCCTCCTTCCTTCTTTCTTTCTTTTCTTCCTCCCCTCTTTCCCACTACTCAAATTTACTTGTTAAGACTATATTCCCTAGATTTGTTTGCTTTCATTATTAAATTATATGATACCCTTTTAAAAGATAGTCCATTGCTAACTAAAATTTAACCAATTAATTAGTCTCAACTTTTGAATACACAGATTTTTATAACTCGTACTGTGGCTATCAAAGAGAAGTTAAGACAATATGGTTAAAGATAAACATAATGTATACATATGTGTGTGTTGACAGGGCACGTAAGTAGGCAACATACAGACATAATTGCAAAACATTGCATTTTATTAATGTCTATTTTAACATTGTGAATTGATATTCTTGTAATTAATTGAACTGACAATTGCTTCTCTTCAATATATTTTCATTTTGAGCAGATGTTTCATAAAAGAGAAAAATCATTGTTGACATGCTTTTAAAAACCATTTCTTCCTGTACTTTTTCTTTCTTTTTTTTTTTTTTAAAAAAAAGATGATCTAAATTGGTATTGTAAAATGGAGTTGTTTAGCAAGGAATATTTTGGATTTTTATTTTATTTTATTTTGGTAGAAAGCTATATTAATAGTACAACAAAGAATCGAAGAATAAACTTAATGTTTAAGAATGTTATTTATAAGAAGTCATTGTCTTTGTGCTTTGTTCCCCTCTAAAATTAATAAAAAATAAAGTTGAAAATACTTTAAATTGTTTTTTAAATTGCTACCCATTTACAATTAACATCCAATGACGCAATTAAAATTCATTGTTCATCTTTAAGCCCTGGAAAATGTCTGTTTTCCAAAAAATTTTAGATAAAAACATGTTTGACTTCCATTTCTTCTCAGCATTTTGGGACCTGTCCTACCATGTATTTTTCCTGTTTTTTTGTTTGTTTTCTCTGAAGCTGGGCTAGACTGAGGAGCTGGCTTAGGTCTCTTTCCACTCAGAGATTCTAGGATTTCAAACAGCAAGCACAGGTTCTCTCTCTGGCCACTTGAAACATCACAAGCCACTCCATTTCCTTCTGGAAAATTACGTTTCTCATAAACATGCTTGGATATTTTAAATATTTTATAACACTCATCACAGTGTTGAGTTCTGTTTGCTGTAAGAAGCATCTCATTTGTGAGGATACCATTTTATCTTTTCTCCCTAAAAAAACGAAGTAGATCTTGTTAGAGTAAGTGGGTTTCTTTGTAATCCAATAGGTATTAAATACTCATTTATTTAACAGGCTTGCAGTAATATATACTCAACTGCCAAGCGGACCATGAAGGCTCCTTCTGCTGGGGCCTACTTAGCGAAGACTCATTACTTGGCTCACCTGACATTTTAAGTAGATCCAGATTTGTCTCCAGCGAGTCAGTGCCACTGACTGCCAGCAGCATGATGGACTGTTTTCACTTGGGGTTTTATCTGTACATTAGGGCTGTCTTCCGTCTCTGAATTGTCAGACAGTTTAAATCTTTCTCACATTCACAGGCCCCACTCCTGGTGCATCACCCACACGTACTGTGCTTCCTCCTTAGTCTCTCAAGGATGGAGTTAGGGAGCAAGTGAAGGCTCGTTTAGTCTTTAGTAGTTGTTTTTTTTTAGTTTGGATTTTCAGAATAAGTCGCTGGCACTGTAAATGTGTGTATAATACTTGATTTTTCAGCTATATGATGATGGAGTCAGGACAGCATTCTAAGTAAAAAGAACACCCCAAACTATTTTCCACCTGTTTTCATCTTCCTACTACCTTTCAAAGAAATGGTCATTTCTTTCTGAGGACAGCATCCTATCCTATATAATAAAAGACTAATATGCAAATTGTCCCCTAGACCAGGAGTTTGATTGGGGGGGGAGGGGGTGGCCAGACTCCACCTGTGCACGAATTCGTGCACTGGGCCTCTAGTTCTTTAATAAAAGCAGAAAGGATGAGAAATAGTATATTAACTCCATATATACTTAAAAATATGCTTTCCAAACACAAACAAATTCTTACATTCCTTATTGAGGTGAATTTCTTCAAATGCCATAGTTAGATGAGCTGGTAAGTTTTGGGGGGGGAGTGACTTAAGGTTCTGTTAGGAGGCTGCTGGCTC